AGGGTCGGTACGTGGACGACACTTTCTGCCTGACGGATCTTACCACCTACACAGACGCCCTGGTCCAAAAGTTTAACACTGCACGCCTCGCTGAATTTTTCCGCAGAGTTTGAGGTATACAACGAAATTTCGTTCCTCGATGTTCTGCGCACACAAGAGGATGGATCCAACCAGCGTAGGGCATTCCGAAAGAGCACCTGGACGGGACAATGCATTAATTTTCACAGTTTTGTTCCCCTAAAGATTAAATGCCATTTGCTCCAGGGATTGGCAACTAGAGTGCGGTGTATCTGCTCTCCGGAGACTGCTGAAGCAAAACTCCAGCAGCTGTCGGATATACTCCACGAAAACGGGTACCCAGAGAGAGTTATCCCCGAAATATAGGGGAGTGCACTGAAAGGTTCATCATGGCATCTGCAGAAAAGAAAGACTTATTTATAAGAATACATTTTCAAGGGGACGCAGCAAGCGACCTAGTAAGACGACGTCTGGAGACGGCGATCACTAGCGCATTTCCTGCGGCGAAGTTACGCTTGGAGGTGACGACCGACTACCGTTGCAGGCCACATCGATGTGTATTTACTCATTCACTTGCACCTGTGGAGAGGGCTACATCGGCCGTACAACGAGGCGCCTGGAAAAGAGAGTACCTGAACAGTATGTTATTACAGACAAATACAAGAGAAACTGATGACTGGTGACCAGAAAACTTTGTCGGTAATAACATACTGCCTATATCATGCGCCGCTGTGCGACTGCTGGCTGGACTCGAGAGAGAGCCCGTAAGGCACAACGGAACGAGTGAGTTCCGTAAGAATAATCGGTGAGCGCCCCCTACCAGAATACCTGAACACATGCCGGTCTAGCTAGGAAGAGGTGAAAACAAATTGATTTCGAGTTCTATTCTCGCACATCTTGTCAATACGAATCACCGGCTCGATGCAAAAGAAGCCTTCCAAGTTGTCTACCGGACACCAGCAAACTTTTCCAGAGGCCTAGGCCAAAGGGTGTTTGCTACAGCCGAGGTAGTGAGTGTACGGTTATCGAATCCAGTGCTATGTTGCTAGAAGACGTTGATGCAGGCGCTCTGTCTTCTGTGGCCAACGGCGTCTCCAGGTGATCATTGCACACCGCCCCAACCGCCTGATGACAGTGATGTGTGCTCAACGTACTTGACTTACAAACATCACTCACAGTCTACGTCACCCCCCCTTTCCCCCCTTGCTCCGATAACCATAACACGCCGACCTTGCCATGCGGGTGATGTGAGAACGATGAGTGTTACTAGCCCACGAATCACTTATAAACCCTGTGAACTTCTCATTATTTCAATTTCTGTGTAGCTGTTTTGGCCTGATTATGAGTTACCGAAAACACGTGTTTGTCAAATTGACTTTTCATTTATAAAATTATAAGATATTAAACGGGGACCTAGTTGGACCATAGGGTCTATCCAATTACAAGGGCTGTACACATAGAAGCCGACCTAATGTCCTGTAGACACTGACATCTGATGATCCAACGGACAGATGAAATGCACAAAATTCTGTCGACCAAGGTTGGACCTTAATATTCGAACTGACAGGCTTTGCAAAATCAACTGTATTCCCCGAGAAGTTTGCCCGTCTAACATTCTATATTTAAACAAAGTATCTCGTTCGTTCGAGTCTGCGCGTATATCCGGGGAAACTGGGCGCATATGCAGCCTCGGAGGCAAGCTATTTCCTCAGTTAAATAAAAGCTTGTTTGACAGTCGTCTGACGATTTGAATAAACGAATTCCACACCTACAAGAATGACAAGTGAAATATTGCATCCTGGGTAAGATAATTGAGATTCAAATGGTTAAACGCCCTTTGATGCACTTAACTTTAAGTTACCCAAAAATACCAGATTTATTGTGTCTACTGATAAGAGCTAACTACTAGCCGTTCTTTCATACCTCCGCGTGGACTAAAATCTAACTGACTGTTTACTCCGGGTAAAACAACCAGTCTAAGGCAGAAAATCGGCAATTAGTGGGTGAGTCGAAACTGTAACATTCATAAGGAAAAATGGCCAACGGCCCACTTTACCTCTCGTGAGTGACTGCGAAGAGGGCACGAGGGGAGATCAACGAGATTCCCTTTGGTTCTTATACCTCGAAGGTAAGCTTTGCCTTATACAGCGAGCAATCCATTCATAACCGGTTTCGACAGAAAGATCCGCATACCAGGGTGACCGCATGATTTTCTCCCTTTTGAAGATGTCTCTTACCGCTAAGGTTCTAGATTTAGCTACTGGGGGGGGGGCTAGTTAGCAGTTATATTTATTCACCAACCTGTGATGAGACGACGCAGCCGACTTAGTACCATCTGTCAGGCGCTGATTCGGAGTAACGAAGACTGTTCAAAGTTCAAGTGTGTCCGCGTCACCAACCTGCTGCTCATTCCATACAAATTTGAACCTCCTGTCGTATTCTGCATTTTTGCAGGCGGTGACGTTACCACCGGTGAGCTTATTTTCCGAATTGCAATTTTATAAGGCTCCATACAGTTCAATTTTCTAGACGATATTTTATACGGCCTGATTGTGAGCGGGACCGCTGGTTGTAGTATTGGCGATGGGGCAGACATTAAAACAAGTCCGTCAGCGTGCACGGAGTTTATCAAAGCCATAAAAAGCGAAACAATTCGGTGCAGATATACTTAGATAATTTATATCAGAAATCTCAGATTTCTTGTCGTCACAATCAAAAAGGCATTTTCCTGAGATGGCGCGTCTACAAGTTCGAAAACTTAAGTTCCCTACTGGATTTGTTTTTAGAGACGACAAAACGCAGGGCAAGATATCCTATCTAAAATATCCGGCCAAGGTATAATCAAATATCTGCCGCTAACTCAAAC